AAGGCTGTGATTCATTTTGTCGTTGAACTATCGCAATCAGTCGGGACGGTCTGAAGAGGGAAGAAGCACGCTCACACGCAGTGTTCCCATCACTGCCTTCGTCCTAAATCGATTACTAACCAGTCGCCATGGGTAGAGCAAGGTAGCCGAAGCTAGGCTCGTTCCCCACTCCTGACAATGTTGCGGATGATTACGACGTTATATGCTTTAGGTAGTTCTTCAAGTGATAAAGATGCTGCGCGGACAGCAGCAAAGTCCCGCCCTTTCAAATGAACTTGGTCAGTAGGCTTCCTTACACATTTATCCGCGTCGACGAAGTATCTCATTCCAACAGAAGAAAAATGATTAGGAGCAAAATACTCAAGAAATTGGAATTGCGAAATTTACCCTCCCGCAGTAAATGCTTCAGAAGAAACTTCAGCACACTGCCATTGATGTTTGTCCCTGTCCAGTTATTTAGTTGGGTAGAAGTATTATTTCTCCAGCGACATCAAACGAGACCTGCCTTGAAATTAGACTCCTACGACTCAGAATTGCGGAATGGGATTTTCTCTCCCAGTGGTCGATGGCAGGTGATAGATTACTACATGCGCTTGTAATTGAACTCGAATCGTCCACACTACCATTCGGCCTGTTGCACGCCTGGCCCGTAACGGAACAGTTTATGCACATCGTTGCGCCGAACCCAACAAAGGGATTGCACTTGAACACTCGAATGAGGAGGTGGTGAATGCCGAATTAGTGAGCATTTGAGGAGTGCAGGACTATCATCACTAAGTTTTGTGAAGCGGAACCAGAGCCCCGGTGAGTGGAAGACTACAAAATGTGAAGTAAGTCCTTCTTCTTATTCTATCTACAGTGTCTGTCCCGCTCTGTAGCGGGACAAACGCTGTGGAATAAGAAGAAGAACTCTCCTGATTTTGTTACGCCATTTATTCCGGTCGAATGCCTCATCAGGGTGAGCACCAGCTATCTTTGAATCCGCGAGCAGTGTCAAGCCAACGTTGCCTGGAGCGTCCTTTCGGTAGTTTGCCGTGCACTCTAGCTGGAGAACAGTTTTGCAGACGGTGTCCGCCTTCGCGCGAAGTACGTGGCCATACCATCGGAGACGACATTATCGCATTTATCAACTATGGAAGCTACACCAAACTTCGGGTGACATCGCCACGTAGCATTTTCATCTCCCTCACACTAAGGCGGGCGTCGAGTTTCTTGGTTGCAGGTCAGCACTCAGCCCCGTACAACGCTACTGGTCTAAGCACAGTTCTATGAATCTTCGAATTGAGGTGCTCCGGTATGGTCTTGTCACACAGAACTCCTGTAATCGAGCGCCACTTCGCCCATGCTGCACTCACACGAAAGTCATCTCTGAGGTCAAACTGCCGTCCAAGATAATTGAAGGCTCTTGTGCGTGTGAGCTCAATGCCAGTGATCCTAATGGAATCAGACTCATTTGTGTCGGTCGTCAAGTGCTCGGTTTTCTTGATGTTCAACTTCAGTCCGAATTTTGTCAGACGATAAGAGCAAGCTTGCACCTGCTGCTCGAGTTCGTTATTAACTTCACTGGCCAGCACCCTATCATCTGCGTAGAGGAGCGTCCAAGGATCCTGTTTCTGGAGATCTCGCGAGATTGTATCCAGAACGACCACGAAAAGGAGTGGAGAGAGCGCAGAGCGTTAATGTACTCCGACCGTGATGGGAAAGACCTGCGCAGTGCCTAATGGTGCATGCACGCGGCTCTTTGGGCTGGAGTATAGAATGCGCGCCCACTCAGTAAGCTACCTTACCATATAACTAAGGCGTACCATATAACTTCACGAGGAATACGATCGAATGCCTTTTCTAGGTCCAGAAAAGTTAGATGCAGTGGGGCTTGCTTCTCACGATGTCTCTCCAACAGAAGACGGCGGCATGTATGACGTCGATGGTGCTACAGCCTGCCACAAAGCCGCACTGATCGATAGAAAGCTGGACGATTTCGCGAATACGACTGCCAACCATACGCCCAGTTCTCCATGCTGTGTGACAGCAGGCGAACTGGACGGTAGCTGGAGCAGTCCGCAGGGCTACCCTTCTTCTACTAACCGTCGTGCTGTCTTGCCAGTCCTTGGGTCGTCTTCTCAGCAACGACCTGATTAAAGAAATCAGTCAACCATTGTACAGGATACCAGCACTGTGCCTTCCACAATTTGCCGTCAGGTCCTGTTGCTTTGCCTGACTTCATCTTTCTGAGTGCCGCCTTCGTCTCTTCTACGGTTGCTTTCTGAACGGGACCGTATACTGGGGGGACGGTAGGGATGGCCGGGTGCGCATAGTCTAGGGTTACAATATTCTCAAAGAAGTCGTGCCATCGCCTCAGCACTCTCTTTCGGTCCATCAAAAGGCGGCCATGCTGTCGTTAACGCCATGAAATTTCTCGACATCTTTGGTCGACGATGCCGAGCTTTGGCAAGTGGTAGAGGTGCCGCTCACCATCACGTGAATACAGCTCCTCACTGATATCTTCGAAGTGGGCGGCCTTCGCTGCAGCCACAGCCCTCTTCGCCACATCTTCGCTTTCTTGTACTTACGCCAGCTACCAGCTGACTTGTCAGCAAGAAACGCGTGGTAGCGCATCTTCTTCTCGCGATTCGTTTCTTTGACATTGTTGGTCCATAACCACGTCCGCTTATCAATTTTACCTTTCTCTGCTTCATGACGCCAAGTTCGGAACGAGCGGCCTCATGTATCGCCTTAGAAGCACCTTTCCAGGTCTCATCGACTGTCATGACGGTGGGAAGTCGTATACGAAAGATCATAGCTGCCTTCTTTTCTTTCGAGTGTCACCATTTAATCCTCTCGGGACCACACCGCTCGACCCGTTCGGACCGGAGCTTAGCGGTCTTTAGTGCGCAGATTAGTGGGCGATGTTTTGTGGCAACTGTCTCGTACGGCACCGTCTTCGCGTCCATAATGAGCCCTTGATCGCGGTGTCCAACAAGGACAAAGTCTATCTCCGTTCTGGCTCTCCCACTGTAGAAGCTGATAAGGTGGAGTCTCGTTTGCGAAACTTCGTAATCACGATGAACAGGTTATGGGCCTCTGCACAGTCGAGAATTCACAGTCGAGAATTCTTTCCCCCGGCGTTACGTGACCCAGAACTGAAACACCATGACAACTGTAGCCGTTAGTTCGTAGCACTTACGTGCCCATTTAGGTCACCAGCAACAATTACGACTTCTTCTGACTTTATCAGCTGTCTTCTACTCAAGCAGGGACCAGAACTCGTCCTTGGATAGCATTCCGATTGTGGAGCATATGCAGGAAAGAAATGGTACAGCCACTGTTCTACAGCAACAGCTTGCTATCCAGTCCCGGAAACGATGAGAGACTATTGAAGCCTCGACTGATGTCCCTTGACTTGCAGCTCGACCGTCTTGTTTCCTGCACAACACATAGGTCCATACGTCTGCGCTGCAATGCCTCTGCCAGCTCACATGAGCGCCCCGTCAGCGTTCCAGCATTCAACGTTGTTACGCGGACCTTCCCCATGTTGCATGACTTGTGAACTAGACTGGTTGCCCCCCCCCCCCGATGCCGTCCTTGCATCAGGGGCCCTCGTATAAATTCCACACTCGCTGGGCCATACGAGTGCGCGTCGGCTCCCGCGGACGCCGTAGCATTGACTTCGAATTCACATGGCATATTGAACATTGGGATGTAACTTGAGTGTTCATAGGCCGGCCCGTCACGAATACCTGTCACCTGCTGTCGGTTTTCTGCGTTTGGCAGCTCGCAGAGGCGAATCCTAAAGGTTACCCGGCGAAGTTGCGATCAGTATCATGGTACCACAACCCTTTAGTCTCCTTTCCGCGCGCTTTCAAGTGCCAAAGCGTCACACTTCTAGCTGCCGTTCTTCTGACACATATCTTTGCCTTCAAGATACAAGATACGAGATCTCACAGGTGTTTACATTGGGGATGGGGATTAGGCGGGAATTTTCCGCTGCTCAAAAGCATTTTTACTTTTACTGCGCTATTACAAATTCATTCGGTTACCCAAGTGTGCCTCTTGAACGCATCTACTCGTAGCATAAAAACGACGTAGAGAATGAGCACCCACTTGTCTGCGAGGGCGCCATTCCTCAGATATCCACGCGGAAATGAAAGAAAGATGTAACTTCTTGGTTGTCCATGGAAACAGATGTGCCCATAGTGTTCATCAAAGTCCATAACTCTTCTATGGTGTTGCTGAGGTTTTGTTGGTTCAAAGGCATCCACGTACCAACGAAAAGTTGTAATTTATTACTGTTACTAGTTGATTATTCTGATCATTTTCAGCTAGCGCACAGTACCGCATGCACCACTGGCTGAACCACATGACGCTGATCACTGACAGCTTACTGTCATGAACGCTTGACCTGACCTCCTCTCTTTGCAGCGATGTTTATACTTCTGTGCTGATCTATGTTGAAGAGAGTCTCCGCGATTAAGTGGTCCGCGAAATGCCTCCATGTATTTGGCATCGTTGTCCGCATTAAAACAAAATATAACACTTTCGTGTCGAAACTGCGAGATAAAGAATCAAGAGACGCGCGGTTATTGCGGTCATTGCAGCCACGATTAGTTTCACTCTGCAAGACAACGGCTTACAAGCGGAATTGCGTGTGTACATTGGAGCGTCGTAGGGTGATTTCCTGCGTTCTCGTCGGAATTGGTTGCATCGAATTCTGTTAAAAGAGCTTGCCGACATCCGACAAACCCGTCCAAGGCGCCGACCCCACCGCTAAGGGGTCACTGTTCAGAGTTCCCAGATTTTTTGGCTTCCTTCTCTACTGGGGAGTTACTAAGGGGTTACTGGTCCATGATTGGGCACCTACTACCCTACACTAGCACTTGATCGCGGCGATTGTCTTTATCAAAGACTTCCCTCTACGATTCCTCAGCTCACCATCAGCGGTCAAATACGACTCGCTCCATTAGTTGCTAACCCAACAGCGCTGTGCCTTGCTTCCGACACAAATGGAACCCATACTGAAGACCATGTTTTTGTACAATATTGGTACTGGCGATTATGCATCTCCTCATCCATTCTCCGTGGAAGCCGGTGTACAGTCATTTTTATCCCTTTGTGTGAACCCCACTGTCTCACGGGGCAAGCCCGCTCGAGCTCCTCGTTGTGTAGCAGAGCGTGGTCTGCTGCAAAGACGCCCGATGGTCATTGCTTCGCTTTTGCTGGGTTTTGTTTACATCGACTTATTGTATTCTGTTGGCGTTCACACTGAGTCATTAGATTAATCGCGTGTGAGGTATTTCCATCCACGGACCATTGACGTAACTCATACCACAGCTATACTTTGAAAAGATTCAGACCTGGCATGCTGGAATTTTTTGTACCGTTTCAAAGGTGTAATCGTGTTTTCGACGTGTAAAAGCGTGCAACTTATCTACATGAATCTCTTAGCGAAGTTTCTAGCACAGCCCTAAGACTATCCGTGGGTACTTTTGTAGGTGTCTGTGGGTCACGATATATACTCACTATGAATCGGACACTTTTCAAAACCAATCGGACACTTTTCAAATGAAAACGGACGCATTTCAAACTGAATCACTTGCCCCATGGGCCCTTGATAGTTAGACCACACTAGGTACTGCTGCGAGCCCCGCCAACATCCCCGCCCATTTCTCAGCGCGCTCATGGTTTCCCCAAAATGTTTGGTGATTTTTGGTTCTTCAAATTTTTCACTTTCGCTATTTGACACACACATTTTTCAACTGAATAAGATTGGTACAGACACATATATGACTCCACCCATTTTTTTGATGAAGTCACGCAAGCTTTCAATTATAACATATCTCGTCGTCTTTCTTTTCACATTCAATCGTCACAAAACGAATATACCCATAGCCATGAATCTACACACGAGCAAACTAAGACCCGCCCCTCCGACCACGCCCCTTTTATGTTTCTTGCGGGATTTTGATTGTTCTTCCTAATTTTCGCTTTTTGAGGCTATAGCAAGTGGCTCCACCCACTAAGAGAAGCTCCGACCACTGTGAGGAAGCCTCGCCCTCTTTTAAAAAAATGAGCTGATCGGGAGTGACGGGAGAGGCTATAGCCTGCAGCCAGCCAGGTACTTCAGCCTGCCGATTTGCATCATTTTTCAAAATAGGCGGGCTTCTACTCAGTGGGCGGAACTTCTACTAGTAGGCGGAGCCACTTGTTACAGCTTAAAGAGGCGAAAATTCAGAAGAAAATCAAAATGTCGCGAAAAACACAAAAGGAGACGTGGTCAGAGGGGCGGAGCTCAGCGCGCTAGTGTGTAGATGCATGGCTATGAGTATATTCGTTTTGTGAAAATTGAATCTGTGAGTATATTCGTTTTGTGAAGATTGAATATGAAAAAAACGACTCGAATAAAGTTATAGAAATCCAAAGCTTGCGTGACTTCATCGAAAAAATGGGCGGAGTCATATATGTGTCTGTACGAGTCCTATTCAGTCGAAGAGTGTCTGTGTCAAATAGCAAAAGTGAAAAAAAAATTCGAAAAAGCAAAATTCATAAAACATTTTGGAAAACCGTGACTGCGCTAAGAAGTGGGCGGGGATGTTAGGGCGGAGCTTGCAGTTGTACCTAGTGTTTTCTAGTTATCAACTGTCTATTGTGAAGGTGTGTCCGATTCAATTTGAGAAGTGTCCGTTCGATTTTAAAAGTGTTCGATTGGGTTTGAAAAGTGACCATTTTGGTTTGAAAAGTGTCCGACTTGGTTTGAAAAGTGTCGATTTGAAGTGAAAGTGGTATACATAGCGTCCGTTGCAGCAACGTTGGGGCGCTGATTCCAAGGGCTGATGTAGGGAATGGGATAGAACATAATCAGTGGGTGGAAGAAAGTAATAGCAGTTTCTAGGGTAAAAGGCGTTAGGACAGAACATTCACAAAAGCGAGTGCATCCATCAGTGCATTAGCTGCTTTCTGAGTAATGTGGGGCTGCGACAGGAAAACTGATGATGGGTGACTTGAGGCGACCGCCAGACAAAGGGTAATAGGCAAATTTCCGTATAGCTCAATATGAACGTATATCTGTATTTTAAGACATTGCCGACCGCCGTACTGCGCGCACGTCCTAAGCATTTCATTATTTTCCGTCGATAAGTGAGTAAATCCCTCTCCTTTTCAATCGCTTATGAGGAGAGGTATGTTGATAACTTGTTGAACTCATTAGGTCCCAGATCTTTCATAGATGTTTACAGGGATGTGAACAGATGGAGTGAAAAGTGGCTTTATCACTAGCACTTTGACTAACTTTCACCGGCAACATTAAACGCAGTATAACCTGAATATTCCACTTCCGCATGGGGTGTGCGCATGGAAGCAGGAGCGACTGTTCCAGGGAAAGTTAAAGGATAAAGGATAAAGTCTTCGCCGTTGATCCATCCTTTGTGGGATGCGGCCACACATTCTACCTTCCATTCAGAATCGTAGTGGCTTATTTGAATGCGATGTGGCCTATACAATGACTTGCGGTGCCAGCCGATGTACAAGTCAGTGTTTTATCCTCCCAGACGAATCTGGTACCAGTTTACCGTCTCCGGCAGGGTAGAAGGCTTGATTGGCCGGCGCGCGGTGTCGACTGGGATTCGAACCAAGACGCGCGAGTGGTAAGCGCGCCACTTGTCACTACACCACCTCCCTCCTTCAGGGCAAGTTAATGCATAATAATGGTAAGACACTGCACCACGGTTGCTTGGATTCCGCTTAGGTCAAAGAGCTCTTCTTGGTGCCACCCAGAGTAGGAATAAACGAGGTGGACTTAACAGTTCCTACTACACAGATGTCTAATACCATTCCGTTCACTGAGGGAGCGCAGGTGGTGCGCCCGACTGCTTGCGTTAGCTATACTGGTAGTCTCATAAACTAGTTGTGAGCGGTCACACCGTCACCTCATGACTGGAGAAAGTTCATGTACAGTGGGCGATCATCCATTGCGTCTTTCCTTTTACGTTTAATAACGGCGTAGAAGAAGGAAGCGTCCAGAGATCCTAAGAGCGATGGAAACACTCTTAGGATCTCTGGGCGCTTTCTAAAAACTAAGAAATACTGGTGAGCTATGATTTTGCATTATGTAATGAGTTCAGCGGGACGTATCAAGACTCCGGAACTTTGTCAAGAACATCACTTTGGGAGATAGCAGTGTCGGTACTCCCCCTCCCCCAAGGAGGCGTCTTCGTTGAGGCACCTCTCTATTGCGCCCTTTTTGGAGCACTTTCCATTTTTGAGAAGTTTCTTCTTGTGGAATAGTTGTTTGAAACTCGATTCACATGCACTCCTTATCCCTGAGACGGAGTGGGCGAGCCATTGAAGAATGGGCTACTCGTGAGTGTGTTCAGTTAAGACAGCTCTCATCTTTTTCTGTGTGCGACAGTGTCATGTTTACAACTGCCCCAACATAAAGTCATTTCACGAAAAGCGCAGCAGCCGCCAGATTCAATTCAGGTACGCAGCCACGTCTACCGCATCTCAGGGGATTGTGGGCGGGTGTGTGTGTGTGTGTGCTTTGGGGGTGTGGTGTGTGTGGGGTTGTGTGTGTGTGTGTGTGTGCTGTGTGTGTGTGTGTGTGTGTGATTCTGTGTGTGCTTTGTGTGTGTGTTGTGTGTGGCTGTGTGTGTGTGTGTGTGTGTGTGTGTGTGTGTGTGTGTGTGTGTGTGTGGTGTGTGTGTGTGTGTGTGTGTGTGTGTGTGTGTGTGTGTGTGTACGAATTTTCATGGCCAGCTAGTTTTTGATTGGTGACCGCCTGAGAGAACAGAAACAGCAGCCTACATAAAATCTGAAGATTCCGTTCTCCAGCAGTCGCCTTCCCATTTCTTAGTACCAGTCGGATCGCCCGGCTGACGCCGAGCTCTCCTCCTTCTTTTTAGCTCGGCTTCGCCGAGCTGGCCTTGCTCGCCAGGCGCACATCATGAAGGGATGGAATTAGATAATTGCATGAGCTGCTCATATTGCGCGTAGTGGTCGAATCATAATAGACGAGAGTAAACCTAGCGGAATCTGCACCCCTCAAAGTTGCGCAAGGCGTGTGGTTTCGGCCATAACGCCCATTCTATTACGTAGATCTCAGAAATAGATAGGAAGTACAGAATATCAATATGTGCTTGCACAGTCAGATAATACAAATTCCGTTTTTACTACGCTCACACAACAGCAACGATGGCTATATATGTCATTAACATGCAATCACCTGCTATGGTTGCCATGAATGGCTGCAGATGACAATATGTTCATTGAATATCTTACAAACTACTTCGTTATACGTTCTCATCAGTGTTTAAAGTTGAAAAGCAAAAAAAAAAAATATTTGAATACTCACGAAGATCAAATATGTGTTCCAATATTGGAGTTTTTGATTTTCCAAACTTTCCTGCTTTCAGGCGAAGTATATATCCCCCCTAGTGGGATACATATTCCAGTGCTATCAGAGGAGTTGGCTGTGGGGAAATTTCGCTTACTGAGAGGCTTTTTTGACAGTGTAGTGTTCAGAGATGTTGTGAAAATGTTCCCTTATCTTTGCTTATCAATTGATAAAATTGCTTGTCACCTCGTCATCATATGCGCTATCACCGAAACCCTAATTTCGCGATTACAGCTCCAATATTTATAGACAACGTCCATCTTTCTCTATCAGGCCTTATCAGCTGTTATCATCTCTGTCACCCGCCGTCGCCTTCTCCTATCATTTGCTGAAATCAACGCCTATGATGCTCTGTCCCGCGTTATGAGTATGTTGTCCTTTCCACTCTAATTCCCCTTATCAGCAGCTAGCAGTTCTTGTCACCCACATATTCCTGTGCCGTAACCTATATCATACCTTGAAACAAACCCCCTATTAATCCAGTCGTCCTCGTCCTCGTTCCTCTCCCTGGCATGCTCAGATGGGGCTGAGCACGCGCAGAAGGAAGCATAGGGGAGGGCACTGGGCGTCCCCCCCCCCATCGGCCCCACCCCATCCCCCCCGCACGAGCACACGTCCAGCTGCCACGCCAGCAGCTCGTGCAATGGCTCGGAGCGTACCGAATGGTTGTCTTATATAAGCGGAGGCCAATATCACGATATCAAAACATTGGATTGATACTTCTGCACCAATCGATTTCCGGTTTTGCCCGGTCGTTTTCTTCCTCCAGCGAACTCGAACCCGTGAAGCATTTGCGGACGGACATACATACATCATACATACATACAATACATACATACATACCTCATACAAACATACAAACCGACACACAAAGTTACTGGTTTATAGAATAGAAGGATAACATGTTCAAAAAATTCCCACCTGAACGAGTGCTGTTGAAAATTATGGGCCACTCGGGAAATTTGTTGCTCTGGCAACTCTAAACTTCCAATTCGCTGGATTCCAAGTATGCGTTCAGAACACATCTTCTGTTGAGGTGAACGTGAATAGTTCAGTCCGTGTCGATACCGCATTTCTAGATCGCATCTTTCTATTCCGCCACCTGTTTAACACGTACGCAGAGATAATTTCAAAGTTCCTGGTACCGTTTGCCTATGAGTCCTATGGCCCTTGGGAGAAATCCAAAGCTTGCCATCTCACATCTGATCATTCTTCAGCGCTCACTGGCCCTCTCCGTACCTGCCGATTTATGGCGACCCCCTCGTTTATGTGCCCTGGTGTCAACAACCCACTATTTGGCCCATTACGTCAAGTACTGGATCCATTTTCCACCCCCCCCCCCCCGATCAAGTGCTAATCCAAAGGTATGTTGAAGCCTGAACAAAAACTTTCGACACAGAACGAAACCTACAAAGTTACGCTTGTAGAGCAAGAGAATTATAAACGTGCTACGGATATCGTTACCTTATTCCGTGAACAGCGCCTAATCCATCATATCCCTCATCATCATGCAGGACCTCTCCCCCAGATTGTCTCTACCTGAGGCACCTGAATATCTTTTTGGGCGAAACTCATCAATCTATACCCGATGTGGAAGCTGAAGTCAGTGACTTCCTCAGCTCTAGCTTAAGAGAATTCTAACTCCACTCATTTCGTCAGTTCCAGATCATTAGAATTTTTTTCAATATCATTCCTCGTTTTCAATACTGAGGTCCAAACTCGCCTTCATTTTTCGTAGAACCTTATAACTTGGAAAATTAGAAACGTCGGCATGCGACCAGATATGATACACTTCAGGTACAGATGTCACGAAGCAGCTTCCTTGTTGTTGCAGTGTTCATTTGCATTGTGTTTATCGCACATGTTCAAAGCCGAAACCTCGCACTGGTGAGATTCCTCTCTTTAAAAGGCATAATTGTAAGGTACAAGACGAAAATCAGCACAACTGGAGTACTCTTCGGCCAGTCGCTTCTAAGTGTAACCTGGCGAAAAGTCTTCTGCAGTACCCTAAAGGCTCACAGATACGTCTGCCAATAAATGATCTGGGTTCATCTACGAAACTTTAGGGTTGCTGGGATTTATGCCAATCAGAAAATTATCAAATAGCAGCTCTGTGCGCAAGAAAACATCTCTTCTGAAATTTTGTGGCAGTTCAAGGGCGGCTTACTGTATTTTACACTTGTGTTTCCGATGTGATCAGGGTAGTACTCCGGAGAATGCAGCAGACGGCAAAGCAGTAGAGAACTTTTACAGATAGAGTGAGCTCATGAAGCTGCATCCGGTAGCATCTACAAGACTGAGAAGTCCTCTTCTGATAATGCATGATGTTTTTGTTCTGCTGGCAACTGTTTCGCTAGGAATAGGCGGCTCTTTAGCAGAGACCTGTATCTTTTTGAAAGGTTTCGCTAACAGGCACAGGTTTTTAAGAAACTAGCATTGTACGGTAGATAGGCGTTTCGACACAAGTTCCTAAGAAATCTGCTTGAGTCAGGTCCTAATTTTGCGAACCCATACTGATACTTCCCCTTTATGTATTTTGACATTTTTTCTCGTTGTTTCCCTCAATATTGGTTTTTCAGACGGGAGGTATTTCGAGCCTCTTCAATTCACCGTTCCGAGTAATCGGCAAGAGAGACCCTTTCTACACGGCATATCGGTAAGAACGAACTTTTGATTGCTTTTCTCCTACTCAGTGTTCTTGAATATGACAACTTCTCGGATTGTTGTTCACTTAGTTTTTCAACCAGTTCGGTCGTTTTGGCAACATTTGCTTGACAAGTGGCACATAACCAATTCCGAGCAAGTAATCAGGATGAAGGTGAAGTATGGCTCATCAATAGTGGGTCCAGCTTGCGATATGCTGCCAGCCTAGCTCTGCGCTGTGTTGTTCTCTTTTAATCCAAGAGATGAACCACTTGTAAATAACCCTATTTTTGGTTTTGTAAGGCACATTTTACAGAATCCGAGTGACAATACTAGCGAAAAACGCTCGAATCCGTGGATGCGGTAGGTGTGGCTGCGCACTCCAACTAAAAGTGGCAGTGGTTGTGCTTTGGTCAGGTCTTTTCACTTGAGACAGTTCTGGTCATGTCTTTGTTCCAACACAGAATAATATGACAGAAGTCTCAAGTTGAAATATCCCACGAGTAGCTCACCCTACGCCATTTCCAAATGCCATGCCTACTCCTCTTAGGTTCAGGAAGTGTAGGATGGCAGAACAGTTTTCCCTGTCTTTTCATATAGTTTGGCCTTCCAGTTAGTTTTTAAACATCCTTTATTTAATATAGATCACTAATATGGACAAGAACAGGCAAAAACATATAAGGCAAAGTGAAAACGGAACATTCGGGGCGCTTAAAAGGGATGCTCTTACGCATGGGTGCGCTTCAAACTCCAGAAGTTAGGGGACTGCAGTGCGTGAGCGTATTGAAGACCACGTGCCTTGATGGTTTTCCACATGTGCATGTCTTCTTGGCGCTCTGATAAAGAAGTATTTCAACTTCAGGCAGATGAGCTACAACTCACACAGGATCCCTTCATTGTCGCTGGATCGATACGATTACTGAAAACAAGACTTATGTGATCTGGAGAATGCTAAAATTAGTGCTCGGGCGCATGAACCTGGGCACTAACTCACACACACACTCTGTCTCTTCCATTATCGCTTATCTGCTTGTGTAGATGAACTGCAATGAATATTTCGCAAATTGGTTCTCGAGTGTGTTTGCTGTGACAAAAGCAATGCACAAAGACTCTAAACTGAACACGCAGATCAGCTGTGTAGCAGTAAATGTGCAAATATTTCAGAAAAAAGATAGCAGCTGCTTGGGATTATTTTCTGATTCGTCGATCAATTCTTTGCGACCGCTTTTTAGATCAGAGGCTGGCCGAATCTACAGTCCTCCATTGCGGACGCGGTGGGGCGTGGCAAGTGCGGCTGCATTTGGTGCGGTTCGGCAAGTCGTTCTGCACCAGTTTTTGAAGCGCACAAGTGCATTACTGTATTATATCCCTTCGTACTACTCGTTTTCTACCACTTTTTTTGTCGGCATTGCGTTGGCAACAAAAAGGCTGAGAACGGCTTCAAACAGTGTGCTCCTTCTGGGCTGACACGCCCCACCGGTCCGCAATGATGAGGACTGTATGATGCCCGTGAGATGATGCAAACAGAGCATGTATTGGGTTGGCCCGTAAGTAAGGGCGTTTTCCCCAACTTCAAATTTCGCATTTAAGACTGAATTTTCAAAGATAGAGTGCTACATTACATTATATACGCCATATACGCTATATTCGCTAACAACTCTTATTCAAAGGTTATCAGTGGTCCTGATTACGAATATGTCATTCACGGTTAAAGCCATCACTAACGACAAGAAATAAATGTCACATTTGCTGTCGGGCTTCTCCGTCACCTGTTACCTATTATCACCTAATGACGCTGGGAGAACACAGACACCATATTCACAATCAGAACGCAGTTCGATAATACGTGAAATCGTTTTCGCTGCGGGCGCCGGGCGCGTCAGCGAGGGGATAGCGCAGCGCCAACCTATTCTCTACCAATTGTTGAAGTGTGCAAGAATCGATAATAGGTGGGAACGGCTAGCACCACACCAAATTTAGCCCCTAACTAGCATAAGCAGCGAGAAGCAGCAGCATAAGCAACTGTACAGGGTCAGTTGACGAGTAGGCATTCATAATTGATTGACAATGAGCACAAGGACTTCCATAACCTGCCCTGCTCCTCAGCATAACCGAATTTTTTTCCAATTTTTCCCTTTGTTATTGAGTTACTTGTATTAATAGTACTGGCAACAAGGGAATGAAATGTTCAACGCATTGCCACGCCACTTACAGTTGGTATCACCGGGATCAGTTGGGTCCCAATCAAGGATGGTTGGACTGACCCTATATGTGACCCCTTATAGCACTGGCATTCTTCCTAAATTGATCACTAAGCAATCACCTCTGGTAAAAAAAGGCAGTCGGAGGCGAGGTCATTCCGTCCTCCTCACAATGGCCCGAGCATTTGCCATGCTACAAATTACACATCAGAATAGTGATTTTTTTTTCTTTGTGTTTTGTACCGTTCTTTCGCGAAATACTTCCACCTTGTGAAGCAAAACCCCAATTATGCAAGTCGAAAATTTGTCTGCCATTCCGGCTAAAAGTGAGTCGAACTGTAGAGAATTGACTAGTGTGCACGAACAGTTTGCAACTGGACACGGTTTATTGAATGGCGAATAATCAAAATATAGTTAACCGTTTATTTCAACTATTACGAGTTTGTTGTATCCTACAGACAGCGGAATTATTTCGAAATCTCCTCAGTTTTCGTCGTTTTCCGCGTTCCCTCTTCTGTTGCACTGACCGATTTTGAAATGAGAGAATCAGTTTCGGTCTCTAGAAACCTGAAATGATTTCTTTGATGTTACACTTCAGATCGGAATTGCTACTTCTGCAACTTCATAAATGATACTGCTGACATACAGCCGATACACGCCAACTATTTCAACAACATTCTGCCTCAGATGTTAAGACTGCATTGCGCCCCGAGCCAAGAAAGGGGTAAAACTAATTTTTAGCAGTCGTCATCCATTGCCTTGATAGGGGTTGCGTGTCGGCGAGAAGGAGCGTGCACACTGTTTTGAAGCCTTCTCAGCCTTTTCGTTGAAACGCGTATCGCGACAAAAAGTGATAGAAAAGCGAGTAACACGAAGGATATAATACAGTAAATGTCACTTCCTGCGTCAAACGATTGGTGCAGTACGGGTGCGGGCGACCGCGCCGCACGCAGCCGCACTGACATTGACGATCAAGTGCAAGGATGACGACCGTACGTGCGATGCATTCCGTAAGGTCGGAGTGGATTCGACATGGAAGTGCGTCGACTAGTCAAGTAGTACGACGAGTCAAGTAGCATACATTAAAAAAAAACTGGTCGTCGTTACCCAACACTGATCGAGAAGAGATTTCTACATGACGACGTTGTTCATCACCCAATTATTATGAGCCTGCTGAATCCGTAAATTGCTTACTCTAGTATGGAATCCCAAACCAGCCCATAGTGGTTTCCGGACCACTACGGAAAGCGACAAACTTTCTCTACGAAATTAAGAGCGAATACAATCGAAACCTGTCTTTTCAGCGCCTTTCTTTTGAACGCCATGAGATAACCTAACTGGGAAAAACATGGAAATACGCCTTCTTTGCCTAGCGGATGACATCGCAAAATAATGGACACCGGGAGATTTTGATTGAAGAAGAAGGAAACAAAATATGGGACTTTAGTTTGACTAACATAAGCGCTAGTGAGGGAGAGATTACCTTTCCTTTTTTCTTACCAAGGATAGCGTTAATCCGCATAAGCAAGGTGCAACACACTCAATAAAACGCCTACCGCAACCACTCGCCACAGTCACATCGACGCTGGTACTGTTATCGCTCCAGTCATGAAGAACAGTTGTCAAAAAGCCACACGGATGTGAGTACATACGTGCAGCGGTATCTATGTAAGCGTTGCTGGCGCGATGCCAACGGGGAACTCGTCCAAATGTGCTCGTCCAATGCTGAGCAAAGCAACTATTTTCCGCAGGTTTTTGCCGTTTAGTTTCGTTTTTCGTCGTTCTCCAACTATATTGCACCCTCGCTACCATTTTTGAGCAAGTGCTAAATCTTTGGACCTTATGCCTTTGAGTGGGAAGGCGGAAGAGACACATATAGGAATGTCCTGTCAATATACCGAGCAATAACACAAACGATGTTTTGCTTCCATGACATACTCTAGAGGAGGCTTATTCTGAGCCTCTTGCAATTGTTTCTATTATGGAACAGTGACTTCAATAAGAAGGAGCTTGATGCTTTAGGTGAGATGTGATTAGTTGTGCAAGTGTAGAATGCCGTGTCTTGTCACCCTTCTGGCTTTGGTCAATAGCTGTTCACTACATAGAAATTGAATTTCTCAACATGTAAAGTTTCCTGGCGGATTTTATTGGTTTTTAAATGTATGCCCTCGAAAGGAGCAAATTTACTGAGCTGGGGATAAGCGGGGAAATAGTATCAATGTTTGACGAACCGTTCTATGTGTAGAGACACCCCTCATTGCGATCGAGGGCCCATGTTATGTGGGCGTGCCCGTTGATTGAAACCGTTATCATTTCAAAGCGTATCGTGCCCTTCTTGCCATTTAATAAAAATGTCACTCTATCCCATCTCCAAAGAATTATACTATTATAAAGGTCGATGACTCGATGATCAACGGAAGATTGGTGGTACAGATCCAAATGTGAATAACGCAACTTACTCCCTAATTCTTAAAAACGTTTGTAGGTATTTTCCATTGAATATGGAAACGTGATCTGCTTCATCTATGAATAAGGGCGATACGGGTCGCTGAGCTCTCCTGTGAATTTCAAGTCCATGCTCCACAGGTATGGAGTCATCACGACAACCGTGGCATACGAGCATGGGCACCTTGATAAGGCGTACTTTTTTTACCCTAAAGAGATTCATTTTACATTTTGGAAAACCAATTCGATTTATGACAGTATGTCACATAATTTCTTGAAGGCAATTCCCGCGACCACAGTTCATATGTAATACAGTTCAAAATAGAATGGCAGTATGTTTGTTGACTTATTGAAGAAGAAGGAAGCACGAAAAAGCGCCCGGAATAGGACCCCCTATTGCAATTGATCAGGATCACCGGACGAGCGTAAGGCGGTCAAAGGCACAGTTCGCGGACAGCAAATTGCGGGGAACGGAACTTAAATAGGCACAAAAAGTGCTAAGTATCTGATTAGCGGAGAAAGCAGCAGTAAAAGCAGTCCGAAATGTTATAGATAAAGATAACACAGTGGCTACTAGCTAGTAGCCAGCAGCCGGTGAGGGTCGGCATGGGCCTAAGGGTGTCCATGGGCCTAATTAGCCAGCTTCTAGCGGAGTTCTTGCCCGTTTTTCAGATTTTGAAAGTAGCGCAGCCTCAAAATCGCCTTCCGGATCGTGCTGACACAGATTCGAGAGGTCATAGCCTTATTTTTTCGCGGAATGTGCCTTTAAGATCAACTGAGAAGTGCGAAAGGCGGCGATACACTGATAAGAGACGAGAGAGGCTAGAAAACGACGGGCGAGAGAGCGCAATGGCAGTCTCACGACGACACGGTTACTGGAGGCCGGCATGGGCCTATCGGGCGCAAATGGGCTTCAAACTGAGCGCTCTGCGTTTTGCTCGCTATTTTTCAACTTTTAAAAGCAGCATAGCCACTGAAGTTGCCTGCTTGACCATCGTGCAAGGTTATGAGAACCTAGCTTTAGTTTATCGCGGAACGTGCCTGTAAGCGTGCTAACAAACAAAGGGTAATCACATCTTCGCACTCACTCAAGCAGTTTCCAATGTAGCAATTGTCTTACAGTATCTGTCAAATGACACTGAAGTGCTACCACATTCCCAAAAATCGTGATTTAATGTCAAACTTTGGACGTATATGTTATCTCAATCAAAAACATGGAAACATGTAGAGAAATGGCAACAAAGCGAAGGGGCAAGGGCTGTGAGCCTCCACATCGTTAGTTGGTACACTGGAC